AAAACAGAAAAGAAGGAACGGCGTCCTGGTAGCTAGTGGGACACCGTACATTGGAGGGGAGAGGCCCCCTTAGGCGCTTTGACCTCCAGGCCTCAGGACAGGCAAGGGGGGTGGCTGCACCCGTCACAGCTTACAGAGCCGCATCTGATACACCGTGTCCACCACTGTGGAGTTTAATTTAGCCAATGCCTTGGCTGCAAGAGACAGCTGGTAAATTTAGTCGGGGGATTAGGGAACGTATAAGATGCATAACTCCTTAAAAGGAACTGGGTGGCCAGGGAGAACCAAAGCCAGAGCACCCCGGGGTTGGCCGTGAAAGGCGAGGCAGTATCCCTCTTGGTGGAGTCCGCAGGCCAAAGAGCAGGTTTGCTGAGTCTTCTGAGGGGCAGCACGGGGGTGGCGCAGGGCGCGGGGCACAGCCAGTGGCTGAGCGAGCACCCGCCTCTAACCTGCTGACAAGGAGCCTCCTCAGCCGCCAGGCTGCCTAGAAACCCGAAATGAATAGGTGGACCAGTTACTGTGGGGAAATGAGAACATTCTGCAGGGGGAAATTAAGGATGACAATCGCAGTCAACCAGGAGAATGGGAATACACGTCTTCACCACGGGCCACGAAGAAATAGCCAGCACACAGCTCAACGCTGAGCTCCCAGGGAAGGAGATTAAAGAGCTGGCAGGAAAGGGTCCCGGGACACAGACAGGGCGGTGACAGGAGAGAGGACCAGGCAGGAAGTACTTCAGACTCTGCTCAGCCTTGTCTCCTTCCAGAGAAGCACAAAAGCGAAGACAGACCCTGAACCTGTCCTATTTTAAAATGTTTTAGGTGATGACCGGAAGCGATAGTGAGGAGGGGCAGCCAAGAAAGGTTCACTTAAGGAGCAAACATCGGTCACTCGTGTCTGATTAAACACACTTGCCCTTTGACCTAACGACAACTCAGCTATGCTTACCCTAAGAATATTCTTCCTTTTTCTTATTTTGGGATAGGATCTTATTGTGTGCCTCACACTGACCTGGAACTTACCCTTGAGCTGAGAATGACGTTGAACTCATGATCTTCCCGAGTGCTGGGTTGGCAGCTATACGCCTCCACACTCAGCCCTGAGAATCCTGGGGTAATAGCACAAATAAGCTGAGCACTTCCAGTTTCCACCAGCGAAAGACTAGATCACTCCAACAATGTCCTCTTTTGAAGCCAGGAAGAGCCAGACATGGTGTGAGGGTCCTGAAATTTCTCCTCTAGAAGGCGGAGGCTAGCCTGGGATCCTGAGGGGGACACAAATTCATCCCAGACTGGCAAAATGATAAAGCCATGTTAAAAGGTAACTCAAGGCTTTTCTATTTCATTTAAACTCATTAGTTTGGTCAATTGCCCTGAAGTTCAAACTATACCCCCAATATATTTTTTTCACGTTTTTTTAGTTTTTGCTTCATTTGTGTTTTATGTGCTTTTGTTTTGTTTGTTTGTTCTGTTTTGTTGAGACAGCACATCTTTCCCAAGACTGACTGGCCAGTGAAGCCCCCAGGGGATCTGCCTGCCTCTGCCCCCTGCCCAGTACAGTTACATCCAGCTTTTATATGGGTGTTGGGGTCCTGAACCCAGGTCCTCAAGGTTATGTGGCAGGCACTTTACCTTCTGAGCCGTCTCCCGTCTCTCACTACCCTCTTCCAATTTTCCAACATAGAAACAAGATTACAGGGTCCTAGTATCACACAAAGGCCACAACCCCTGCTTCTCTTAGCCCCCCAGATAGAGCTCAGACTCCCCAGTGTGACTTAGAAGGCCTTCCTGAACCTGCTCAAAGTGACCTGGTGCCCTTTCCTCTCCTGTTTCCCCTCTTCTGTTTTATTTTCAACAGTGTACAACATCCCCTAGGCCCTGATTTGGAGTTGTACTTACTGCTTGTTTGACTCACCACCAACTCAGGGCCTGCCTCAGAGTGAGGCCACACCAGGCTCTGCAGAGCTTGGTCAGGTATGTATCAACGAGGCCATGTACAGAAACAAATGCTCTTTGAGCCACGCTGGAGTCCACGCCTGCCAAAGACACGGCTCTTGCCACAAATCACATTCAGAATCCTCAAGCACAACTGTGTGGTCAGCAGTTGTGACCAGGTGCCTGCTGATGCGCCAGACGTTAACCCCTGCAGTGCTAAAGAGGACCCTTGGGGTCTGGGAGGAGCCTGTGTCAGTATGTCATCCAGAGGTGAGAGTGCTTTAACCAACCAGTACAGACTAGCCTTCCTCCCCAAAGAGCCCCTTCTCATCCCTCTCCTCCCTCTCCACATTCTATGGTCCACCCTGCCCCCATGCAGGCCACCTCCATCTCTAGTCTATTGCTTTTGGAGGCTTTTATTTTGAAACTTTTGCAGGGTTCAGAAAAATATGTGACCCGTTTTCGTTTTTCCCCCAGAGTTTGTCCGCAGGGCTTGGAGAGCTTCCCTTACCACATGGCACCGCGGACACCCATCTGGCCCCTGCTTTTGCCTAAAGATCTTTTGCTCCCATGACCCTAAGCCTCAGAATGGGGACACTGAGCTTGGAACCTAAACAAAGGTCAAGGCAAGGACTGGGAGTTCAGGTCTGGAATCACGGAGAGACTGAGACAGGAGAATTGTAATCTAGGGCCTGCTTTGGGTTTAAAAGATAGAGATCTTATCTTAAAAAAAATAAAAAGTCAAAAAGAAGGCTGAAGCTGTAATTCCAGGGCAGAAAGCTCCCCTGACATGAGAAGGGCCCCAGTTGAATTTCTAGTATGGCAATCAAAACACAAACAGACAAACCCCAAATCCCCAAACAACAGCAAGAAAGGGCAGATGGGGGGCCTACAAATCCACCAGACACTTCTAAATCAGCTTGCAGATTGGGCCTGCCTTTGGGACAGCAGCCTAGTGATGCTGAGAATACTTCAGAGCGCACCGATGGTCACAGGTGCTTGTGAGGCTGAGGCAGGGGCATTATTTGAGCCCAGCAGCCCAAGACCAGCTTAAGCAACCTGGGGAGACTCTTCCATGAAAATGCTAACTCCGAGGCAGTTGAACCAGAAGCTCCAGGTTGTGTGGAACTTTGAATGGAGAATATTGCCTCTCTGGGACTACGCCTCATCTGTCGGGTAGGTGACAGTCTTCAAGGGGAAAGGTTCTCCCTATGTGTCTGTTTCTCCACATTCCTTCAGGCATCCATCTCTGAAAGTGTGGCACAGTCTGAGATGTGGCACGGGGTGGTCTTCCACAGAGAGGGGCGGCTGGGGGAGGGTAACGCTATATCGCTCCAGCGGTCCTGAACCTCCATCTACTTGTAAATAGTCCACCCCGTCTATTCTGTCCACAGTTGTACTGGGTGAGTGAAAGCAAAGTCCCTGGGACCTTTGTGCCTGCACCTGATGTCTGCACCTCGCTTTTCCCTTAGATGAGATGCTAGGAACCAGGCCAGAAGTACCCAGGAAGCAGAAGGTGTTCTGAAATGAAAAGAAGAGAGTTTGAGTTCTTTATCTTGAGTCGTGTCGCCTCTGTGACTGTTTTAGTTACTGTTCTATTGCTATGAGGAGACACCATGACCAAGGAAGCTTAGGAAAGAAAGCATTTAACTGGGGGGGTTCATGGTTCTGAGGTGAGGAGTAGTAGTGACCATTGTGATGGTTTGAGTGAGGATGGCCCCCATTTGAATGCTTGATCCTTACTTGGAGGAACTGTTTTGGGAAGGATTAGGAGGTGTGGCCTTGTTGAAGGAGGTGTGCCACTGGGGAGTGAGCTCTAAAGTTCAAAACCCCACTCCAGACCCAGTCTTGCTGTCTGCTTCCAACCTGGGGATAAGATCCAAGTTTTCAACTATTGCTTTAGTGCCCTCCCTGCCTGCTGCCTGTCTGCCTGCCTGCTGCCTGTCTGCCTGCCTGCTGCCTACCTGCTGCCTGTCTGCCTACCTGCTGCCTGTCTGCCTGCCTGCTGCCTGTCTGCTGCCTGCCTGCTGCCTGTCTGCTGCCTACCTGCTGCCTGTCTGCCTACCTGCTGCCTGTCTGCCTACCTGCTGCCTGTCTGCCTGCCTGCTGCCTGTCTGCCTGCTGCCTGTCTGCCTGCCTGCCTGCTGCCTACCTGCTGCCTGTCTGCCTGCCTGCTGCCTGTCTGCCTGCTGCCTGTCTGCCTGCCTGCCTGCTGCCTACCTGCTGCCTGTCTGCCTGCCTGCTGCCTGTCTGCCTGCTGCCTGTCTGCCTGCCTGCCTGCTGCCTACCTGCTGCCTGTCTGCCTGCCTGCTGCCTGTCTGCCTGCTGCCTGTCTGCCTGCCTGCCTGCTGCCTACCTGCTGCCTGTCTGCCTGCCTGCTGCCTGTCTGCCTGCTGCCTGTCTGCCTGCCTGCCTGCTGCCTACCTGCTGCCTGTCTGCCTGCCTGCTGCCTGTCTGCCTGCTGCCTGTCTGCCTGCCTGCCTGCTGCCTACCTGCTGCCTGTCTGCCTGCCTGCTGCCTGTCTGCCTGCTGCCTGTCTGCCTGCCTGCCTGCTGCCTACCTGCTGCCTGTCTGCCTGCCTGCTGCCTGTCTGCCTGCTGCCTGTCTGCCTGCCTGCCTGCTGCCTACCTGCTGCCTGCTGTCTGCCTGCTTCCTGCCTGCCTGCTGCCCGTCTGCCTGCCTGCTGCCTGTCTGCCTGCTGCCTGTCTGCCTGCCTGCTGCCTGTCTGTCTGTCTGCCTGTGTGCTGCCTGCTACCATGCTTCCCACCATGTTGGTCACAAACGACCCTCTGAAACCATAAGCAAACCCCTAATTAAATATTCTCTTTTATTGGTCATGGTGTCCCTATGCAGCAACAGAAATGGAACTAAGATGCTGTTACGACCGGGAGCATGGCAGCAAGCAGGCAGGCACGGTGCTGGAGCAAGGGCTGAGAGCTCGGATATTGAAGCAACAAGCACGAGGCAGACAAAGAAGGAGCTGTCAATTAAAAAGTCAGAGCAATACTTGACTCATGAAAAACAAAAGTTGCTCAGGAGCGGGAAAATCACCTTAACACACACAATGACATTTAAATAAAGAATTTATGTGGTTGTACGAATGAACACCAGACCACTGTTGTAAGCAAAGGTCATGATATAAACATCTTGGGGTCATGGGAAGGAGTGCGTTAGGCATGGGAGAGCACTGGATTCTCATTTATATAAAGAGGAGACTGACATAATTTAAATGAATGAATGAATGATAAATAAATAAAACGACAGTGTTGGCTTCTGTTCAGAAACAAAGAATCACACAGAGGAACTTACAGCAAAACCCACTGAGGAATGTGGGAAACACCTTCCCAGCAGGAGTCAGGACCACCCTCTGACTTCGGTTCCTTTTCTTTTCTTGCTTAATTAACCTTCACACCCAGGAAGCCAGGAGCTCATTCCTTGTCACTGCCCCTCACTGGTCTCACTGACACCAGAAAGCTCACACCTGGAGTGACAGCCAGAGAAACATGGAGCAAAAATCGGTATAACAAAAAGCAGGCATGAATCAAAGGCTAATTGTTATTACTGTTGATCGTTTGTAATTTCTTTCTTAGTCACAGGGTCAGGGTGCTCCCTGATCTTCACAGAAGCAAGATTAATAGACCATTCCAGGGTCCACCCTATAGGACCCTCACCCCTTCACGCGTGGAAGTCCACCAGAAGGCTAGTGTCAGGTAAAAAGATGGGGGCCTCAGGGTCTAGCCCACCACCTTCCACTCTGTCCAGTTACTAATAGAGTGTTTTCTTTCTCCTGCCACTACTTTGGAGTCTTTACCTCGTGTAACTGTAGCCAGGTTTTACGATGGTAGGAGGTTGGCTATCTTTGGCTGTGCAAAGGGAGGAGAGAGCTTATCAATATGCTCTGTGTTGGTATAAATTGAGCACCCGTATTTCTGGTGCAAATATTGATAAATCAATGGAAAGAAATCACAGGAGCAGAAGCAAAGGCCTCGGGAGGGAGCAAACGGCTGTGGAGAGGGGACATAGGAAGAGTCAGAATCATCTTGGCCATCCTCTAAAGATAAATGTTACGTGTATTTAATGATGTCGGTGTGTGTCTGTGTGCGTCACCGCCTGAGCGTGGAGGTCAGAGGACGAATTGAGGGAGTCGGTTCTCTCCTTCTACCATGTGAACTCGGCAAACTCAGCTCAGGTCACCAGGCCTTGAGACAAGGTCTGCCCGCTAAGCCATCTTACCAGCCCTTTCTGCAGCCACTTTTAGTAGCTGCTGCCCATCTGCCTCAGCTCTGTGTCTGACTTAACACTCCTTTTTCTTTTCTCTCTCTCTCTTTTTCTTTTTTTAAAATAGGGTTTCATGTAGCCATGACTAGCCTAGAACTCACTATGTAGCTGAGGTTTCTGATCTTCCTGCCTCTACTTCCTGGGTCCAGAGGTTAACAAGAAGACCTGACAATATTTTTTTCTCTTTTTCTTTTCTTTTCTTTTTTTTTTTTTTTTAACAACTCAGAATGTAGATAAGTATGACATACCTCTCTAGCTTCCACCAACGCTAAAACTGAGGCTGTGGACTAAAACCCGCAGACCCCTGCCCCTCGCTGCTGCAGCTGTCTATCTGATGTGCCGACCTCTGCATTTTATAAACATATTGATTTATGACTTTCTTTCCAGTGACTATCAAAGCCCATGTGACCTTTTCTAGTCAGAGCATGTCATTCGGGGTAACTCGGATCTATGTTCCCCTGCCACAGTCGTTCCTCTCTGGCTGAGAATAAATTATTAGCTTATTTCCTTAGGGCAGAGTTGGTGTTTTTCCATGCACAGCATGGAGACACTCCGGGAAGGGAGGGGAACCTAGTTCCCTCCCTCAGCTCAGCTGGAACAGGGTTGGTTCTTTCCCTGCTCAAGGAGGAATGGGAGTGGAAGGGGCTGTAGGATTTGGGGGCCAGTATGGATAGCAGGCCTGGGACAGGAAGACCCTGAGGGGCAGCCCTTGACATAATCACAGATGGAGGAGGGCAGTGTGATCTAGGACAGGGCTGTGGGGCCCTAAAGGAGGCCAGGTGCACTCCTAGCAGACTGTGTGTGTGTGTGTGTGGCGGCGGGGGGGGGGGAGCCAAAATGATGCGTGGAGTGCAGGGAATTCGTGAAGGGGAGATGCTATTTAGAGAGAGAATGCTGGACAACTGGGATAAGCGAGGGTCCAGGGACAGTGACACATGGGTCTGGCTCAGGAGAGGCTGCAGACCCATGGGAGGTGATACACACACATGCCCAGAGAGAGCTAGTGGCAAGAAGACAGCCAAGGAAGGGTTGTAGCGAGCCTTGGGAAGGAGCCCCAGCCATGGGGCAGGCAGGGCAAAAGCTGTGTCCCCAGCAGAGAGCTTAGTTGAGACAGGGGCTTTAGGGACAGCAGGTCACTGTTGAAAGTAGTTTACCCTCGGGCAAGGGACTTGGAGGCCCGTAAAGAAAAATCTGGCCCTCGTGATGTGGAAGATCAACTATAAGCTGGGGCTACAGTTTCAGGATGCTGGGGGCAGGGAGGCAGGGAGAGGCATGCTGGTCCAGCAGTCACTGCCACAACATGGGCCTGACAAGGGACAGATTTTTCCTCAAGACCCAAGGTGAAGCCCATCAAGAGGTAGAAATGGCCTCCGTCCCAGCAGGAGGCACTGTTGGGGCTGGAAGCACAACGCCCTGTTTGTCCGGCCATCTGATTGCCTCCCCTCTGCCTCCCTTCCCTCTTTCCTTTTCTTTCTCCCCAACACGTGTGGACCCTGTTTGGACACTAAAGATGTAAAGATCAGAGGTCCACATGCCTTGCCCTAAATGTGCTGTCCTGCATCCCAGTCCACAGGAGGGAAGGGCACCCCTGGGTTGCAATCTTAGGGGATGGTAGGAAACAGCCTTGATCACATCCAGGCAAGAAGTGTCCCTGGGGCAGCACTCTGCCTCCTCACACTGAGGACAAATCTTCCCAGCTCCTCACCCAGAAGACCTGGCTCTTGCCCTGGCTCTTCTGCACCCAGAAGCACTCGCTGGCTCTTCCCTCTTGACTCTGGAACGGGTTCCGTAAATACAGAGCAAAGACTTCACTGGGGCTGCGGGAGGACTGTCAGGGATTTATTGTTTACGGCTGTTTTCATGCCATGACAACAGAACCCAGCAATCGTGACAGAACGGCACCCCGCAAAGTCTGGAGTGTTTACTATCTAGTCTTTCCTGAAAATGGCTGCCAGCCCTGTGCTGTCACTGAGCAGAGCACTGTGACAATTCTCTCTCCCTCGCTGACAATCCGAATGGAACGGGATCATAAACTGGAGTTCACTTTCGCTGGGCCATTTTCTAGTAGGTGGGGGGAGAGAAGGGAGATGGAAGGGTGCTGTGTTCCTTTAAGAAATATGTACGCCTGGCTTCCCTTTCCAGGGCCAGAATATGCTACCCTGTTCACGTAGCTTTGAGGTAGGTTGGTGACGTGCTTTGGATGTGGTTTGTCACCCAAGGAGTCCTGTGTTGGAACATGAGATGTGGTGGCAGCAGAACTTTTTCTTGGTGACCCAGTACAGGGCCTCTGAAATTCCTCCCTCAGAGCCTCTTCACACCTAATAAGTTTATACAGGACCCTGGGTAGACAGGCACACAAACCAAATGTTTGCGGACAATAAAACTGTACTTAAAACAATATCTTGGCATACATATAAGTTTACAATTTATTAAATATGAAAACAAATTAGCATATTAATGAGCGGGACGTGCTTGCTGTTTTTAAATAAATAACCAAATCTTGGGTAAAGATATCCTGCAAGATGTCGAATATCTTCAGTGCTTGGCAGAGTTGGTAGATAAATACGATTTTAGAATTATCAACGATGAGACCACCAGAGGCAGGACAAAGGGACAGTGCATTGTGAGCCCGTCTCAGACGTGGCCGGAGATTCCGCACTAACTCCTAGCTAAAATCCACCAAATGGCACGCTTACAAAGCAAAACTCAAGCCAGCAACTTGAAAAGCAGTTTTCAACAAACATTTTAACGCCACACAACCCAAAGGTACCTCAACCTGGAGCTTAAACCTTGAAGGGGGATGAAGGAATATTGGAGTTCTTCCGCTACATTTCTATGAGAAGGAAATGCCATATAGTGAAAACATTGCAGTTCAGTGTACGAACAATCGGAATCTGAACCTTTGTGTTTCAGGCGACGCTCGGCAGCCTTGGGAGATATGACGTCACATCCTGTGCAGAGCGCGCATGCGTGTTCAGAACCGAAACTGCAGTGACGTTACATGACAAAACTGCCAGAAACATAAGGCTCATTACATACCTGATTTTGAATTAATTTGTGATCAAGTGTGGTTCTTAAACTTTTTACTGGGGATGTGTGTGTGTGTGTGTGTGTGTGATATTTCCACATTTAATTAGGTGGCCCCCACAGGAGATCACGACCCACAGCTTAAGAAGCTGGGCTCAGGTAGGTGATGCTTACTTCTCTGACAGCCACACCCTAGGAAGAGATTACATTGGTTCTAAAGGGACTCACCCAAAGACGGTTTGCAGTTCTTATCACTGGCTTCTCACCCCTGCGCTCAGCTCGTGTTTCCAGTCTCTCCGTGTGAGCATCTTATCCCTGCACCCTGTGATGCCATCCTCTGTGGTGTGATGCAGCCAGGTGGTACCTCAAGAGAGCCAGCATTATGCTATTTGGATTTTCAGCTCCCCCCAAATGGTAAGTTAAACAGGCATCTTTTCTTCATCAATTCTCCAGCCCCTGGTATTTCATTACAGTAGGGAAACAAGAAGCCAACTCAACTGGGAAATATTACTTTTAAGTGGGTGGCCATGAGTCCTCTTGCTGCACGCAGCATTTTTGAGTAAAGGAGGTGGGAGAGAGTGAGTTGTAGGGGACAGCATTCTCTGTCACATTAGCCAAGAACTCAGGCGCAGTTTGTAAATGCTCAGATTGTGCTGAGGTCAGCAACAGATAAGAAATCCCTGCTTCCTCCACACCTCTCCTCAAATATTTGTGGAGCCCTCAGTTACATGAGGGTCTAGTCAAGTGCCCCTTATAGACAAGCAAATCAGAGAACAGAAGGTGGGGTTAGAGCTGAGAGGAGACAGTTTTATCACCAACCCGGAGCTCTGACCCTTGAGACACTTGTTCCCCGCCCCTGCAGAGCAGGGACCCGAATGGAGCCAGTGAGACCTGGTGCCTTGGAGCAGCCATCTCTGAGAAGCACAACCTGGAGCCAGGTTCAAATTGGGGATCTGTGGGAGGTCAGTGCCAGCAGGTGAGGGCATCAAGGGGCAGGTGCCAGCCTGTCTTCTTCATCCCTCATCTTTCCCAGACTCTCTCTGAAATGGCAAGGCTACCTGCCACTCCCCTGTGACAGGCATTGCACTGAAAACGGGACCAGAGAAGCTAGATGGTTAACATGAGTTTCCTAGTCTCTCCTCCTTGGTGCATGTATGAGAGAATGCATGTGGCATGTGTGTATATGTTTATAGCCCGTGCATGAGTGCATGTGTGTATGCGTAGGTAAGCACATGTGAATGTATGCATGCATTCATTCATGCATGCAGGGTTGATTTGTGTACCTTAACAGTGTTTGGAGATGCTCAGCAACAATGTGCTGGATTTGTATCTATCTATTACTGCTTGGCAACAATGTGCTGGATTTGTTTCTATCTACTCTTATCTGCTTCAGAGTGGAGGTCAACTGAATGCTTGTGTAGCAAACCAGAGCAAATGGTGGATGGATGGATGGATGGATGGATGGATGGATGGATGGATAGATGGGTGGGTGGGTGGGTGGATGGATGGGCGGGTGGGTGGGTGGGTGGATGAGGGGCATTATGAGACAGCAACAGCGAGAGCTTTGGAGTAAGCCACAGTGGAGCCCGCACATCACTCTGTCGCTCACCAAGGCACTTTAGTCTCCTAATCTCACAGCGCCTCAGTTTTCTCATCTCCAGAACAGGTATGAAAACATTACCCATCCTATGCACACAGAGTCACTCCATCCCAAGTTGGCCCATGGCGCTGTCCTAAGGGCTGCCGCACAGTTCCTCCCCACCGTTCGTGGACTGCGTGCCAACACAAACACTTAACAGTGTACTCTGGCTGCTTTCGTATTTATGGTCAGTGGAGGGGGACTACGTAGCAAACCCTTGTCCCAAACAAACAACAATCCATCTAAGGCAGTATCCCCAGTCCAGGAGCTTAGAGCTTAATTTAGAAGTCCAGTCTCCAGACTCTAGGTGCTGCAGAGAGGAAGCCTGACAACTGAGTCATAGCGCCCCCTGGTGTTCATTCCCTTCAAAATTTAATAAATGGGAAACTGTTCTCCCAAGTGAGAGTGAAGGGGGCGAGGAATTAAATTTCAATGTGGTAAGTTGTATCATAGAAAGGAGCAAGACAAATGGGAGTTAGACTTGCCGGGGGTGGGGGAGAGAGAAAGGAAGGGTTAAGTCATATTAAGGAAATTATCACGGGTAGATAGCGTTAACATCTATAATTCCCTCCCCGCCTATTTGATGTTGGACTAAGCATTCATTTCCTTGGTTAACACAGGCTCACAAGGTACAGTTAGAGCCATGCACATGGTCGGTGCCCTATACAGAAGTATACATGGCTGCTTTACGTCTTTCAATTTTTTTATTGCATTTTTATTTATTTTGTGGGAGTACGTGGACCAACTGCACGCGTGTGGAGGTCAGATGACAACATTCAAAAGTCAGTACTCTCCTTCCATCAGATGCATCCTGGGAATGAAACTCAGATGAGCAGGCAGCAAACACCTCTACCCACTGGGCCATCTCATAGGCCCAGATGGCTGACATACGTTCTTGAGGCAAATATTATCTCAGTTTGGAAAACTGGATGCACAAACTCGTGGCCAAGAAGGTGGCAGGGCTAGGGCATGGGATGCTTGTGAACTCACACCAGCTCTGCTTCCGGAGAGGGCGGGCCCTACCTTCAGGGAGTTTGCCATCTTGATGGTCTCCCGGCAGCCTCCGGGTGCTCAGCTCAGCCTGGGCCCTGCCCTGGATGGCTATTTATGGCTCAGGGAGGCGTCCAGTGAGGCGTCCCCTCATAAATTATGAAGGGAGACACATGTGGGTCAGGACGGGGGAACTCAGGGCATGAGGGAACCCCAGGAATCTCTCTCTCTCTAATCAGGGAGTTTCCTTCTGTTCCTAAGGCCACAGCTGATGCAGACAGCAGAACTGGCAGTCTCACGAGGGGTTCCGAGGTCCCCTCAGGTCCTGCTGTTGGGCTCCTAGCCCTGACTGCTGACAGCTCTCTGCCTCGTCCTTCTAAATGGGGACTGTTGGCTGTTTTGTGTGCCCTGTGCTCACACAAGCAGGGCTTGAACAGTGCTGGGTGTTTTGTGACCTCCACATTCTCTCTCTATTCAGACTCTGGGGACCCCCAGCTGTTTCCCTGAGCATGGTTGTTCTCCTCCTGGGGGTATCAGAAAGTGTGGGTCATGTGGAGGTGCTCCTTTCTGAATTGTCCTTGGCACCTGCTTTTGAGTTTGTTGTGTGTTTTTAATACGTCAGTCTCTTGGTCATTGTTAGTCTTTTGTTTAAATCCTGCACACCCCTAACTTCCTCAGATAGTTCGCGCATCCCTCTGGCTTGCTCCTCTCAAGTCTCTAATCTCGCCACTGGGTTGTTAGTTTGGGGGTGTCTGGAAGGAACCTGACAGAAAGTAAGAAGTTGAGAATTTTCTTCTGTGAATGAAACATGCCAGTCTTCATGTGGCCTGTAAGCTTCAAATTAAATGGATTTTTGTTTGTTTGGGACAAAGGTTTGTTATGTGACCCAGGCTAGCCTCCACCCCAAGATTTCATGTCGCCTTTGCTTGTTTGTTTACTGTTAGGCTGCTGAGGGTGGAGGCCATCGGGATGTCCGGCTGGAGTTGAATTGCGCCAGGGGTTTTTTGTTCTTATGCTGCAGAGCAGTGGAGGCTTACATCTCAGGAACTTCAGGAGCCCGGATGACTACTGTCTCCCTGGGGCAGGTGGTATCATGAGATGAAGAGGGCCAGGGAGGAAGCATGGCAGCTCAGGACTGGAGCCCACTGCTGACAGGGTGTCTGGCTTCCAATTACACTGCCTCAGAGCTGCGCACAAAATTAGCAGCAACATTCGCCATAAAAGGAGCCAGAGAAATAGCTTCATTCAGCAGAACCCCAGGCAGGGGCAGAAGACAGAGGAGGAAGAAAGGGGTCTGGCCCAGCACTGCAGACACAAGTTCCAGACTCCTCCTAGGACACCCCTGGCCCCTGCTGCCCAGGTTGAGTCAGGAACACAGGATGATCCCTTGTGGGAAGGGAAGGCTGAAGGTGGGAAGGTGAAAACTCAGAAAACCTGGGGAAGCTGGCCTAGAAGCTCAACACACATACATACGCATGCATGCACGCACGCAAACACATACAGACAAATAAAAACTTGGTTGGCTGTGTGGTAAACCCAGCATGTGGGAGGCCTAGACAGAAGAATGCCAAATTTGAGAGATCTTGGGCTACATAGTAAGACCTTGTCTCAAAACCAAAAGACAACCAAAAAGAAAATGTCCTGCCTTGTGGGGTGGCTCACTCCTGTAACCCTAACATTACTCCAGGGTGGGGTAAAAGATTACTTAAAAAAAAATTACTTCAAATTATAGGCCAGCCTGGGCTGTATGATGCATAATGTGCTCCAACTTAGTCTGGTTTATAGAGTGAGGCCCTAACACACACACACACACACACACACACACACAGAGAGAGAGAGAGAGAGAGAGAGAGAGAGAGAGAGAGAGAATGAGAAATGGTTTAGAGAGTGTGTGTTGGCTTGTAGGAGGACAAACTGCCACTGTGTATGTGTGTGTGTGTATGTGTGTGTGTGTGTTTGTTCGTCCATCTGTCTGTCTGTTGGTAGGCCACCACCAAGACTCTTAGAGAAGAGTATTATCTTCTGTTTGTGATGCCACCACTCTCCGAGTTAGAGGGTCTTTTAGAGACCCCGAAGGAACCCTAACCCTTGCCCACACAGTTACACTGTCTCTGCACAAACTAGCCTTGGACTTGAGACGTAACTAAAGGAGCCCCAAACTTAAGCCCTGCCCAGGGCTGGGCTTCCAGTATTCACTCTTGCTTTATTTGGTGCTGGGACTGAAGCCAGCCCATGCAGGGCAAGGGCTCTCCATCCAAGCCCCAAACAAACACACTTTAAGCCAGGGCGCGTAGGCTGTGACACAGTCTTTCACTAGTGCCTTGTGTCACCATTTCCTGCTTCGTGACCACCTGTTGACCAACACTCTCCTCCCCCTGGGCCAAGCTTGTACCTCTGTGTTCAGAGACACCCTCCTCTACTGTACCCCTCCCGGTCACCCTGAGTCTTTCCTTCTAGAGCTGAGATGCCTGAGTCCTGAGGCTTGAGCCAGAGTCCGCGTCTGTCTAGCTCCTCAGGTGTGAATTCTTCTGAAGCCCAAGGCGCCTGCTTTGCAGTTTTGTGTTGCGCTGACTCCAAACTGCTTCTGCAGCACAATTTATGGCCAGCTTTTCTCTGGATTTCACACCAGCGGGGGCTTCAGGCTTGAGAGTCTGACCTAGTACTTTAACTCCCTCCATCCACCCATGGCTGGAAGAGTTCCTCGGCTCCTGC